TTGAGAACGCATTTCTTGAACAGTTTTTTGGTTTCCAAGTTTTTCAAAAACACGATGCATATTCAACTCATCAAGATCACATCCATTTTCATGGTTTTCAATTTCAAATTCTGAAAACATTTGATTAAATCCCCAAACTTCTTCAGCCATAGTATCTTTATATGTTGGCCATAAAGCATTTAACATCCAAATAGCTTGTTCTTTAAAGCATTTCTTATTAAGAGCTTTGAAGGTTTCTTGATCTCCCATATTATTCTTATTTCCTCTTTTCTTAGTTTCAACGTTTTTTCTTTTTTATCTTTTGTTTATTTGGTGAATAATTGTGTTATATATAGCGGTTTTAATCCTTTTTTTTTAACTTTTTTTTCCAATGAATCTTTTCTATTTTTATAATTTAAATTTTTTTTTAACCAAAAAAGAAAAAAAAATTGTAAATATACAAATAACTTAGTAAGTTTTCTCATTGTGTAAGTGATAAGAGAGTTTTAATTTCAATTTATGGTAGTAGAAGAAATTATTCTATGAATCATTCTATAAATTGAATTTATTTTATTATAATAAGAGAGTTCAAGAAATAATGAAATTTCTTTTATTTTCCATAAAAAAAAAAGAAAAAGCCAAGGCATAAGAATAGAATGAGTTGTTAATAATAAGAAATAAAAGAAAATAAACTATAAATAAGTAGGAAATAAATCAAATTAAAAAAAAACACAGAAAAATCAAAAGAATTGGAAAAGTTAAATTCATACGCAATATTTGGTATTTAAACTGTAAAGTATTTTTAAATAAAATCATTTTATGTTTGCATTAATTTTATTTGTTTCTCTTGCTTGTGCAAATGAAGTTGCATTCAAACAATGGGCTGCTACACATAACAAAGTATTTGCTAATAGAGCTGAATATCTTTACAGATTTGCTGTTTTCTTAGACAATAAAAAATTTGTTGAAGCTAATGCTAATACTGAACTTAACGTTTTTGCTGATATGACTCACGAAGAATTCATTCAAACTCATCTTGGAATGACTTATGAAATTCCAGAAACTACTTCTAATGTTAAAGCTGCCGTTAAAGCTGCTCCAGAATCAGTTGATTGGAGAAGTATTATGAATCCAGCTAAAGATCAAGGACAATGTGGTTCATGTTGGACTTTCTGTACAACTGCAGTTCTTGAAGGAAGAGTTAACAAAGATCTTGGAAAACTTTACTCATTCTCTGAACAACAATTAGTTGATTGTGATACTTCTGATAATGGATGTGAAGGAGGACATCCAACTAACTCACTTAAATTCATCCAAGAAAATAATGGATTAGGATTAGAAAGTGATTATCCATATAAAGCTGTTGCTGGTACTTGCAAGAAAGTTAAAAACGTTGCTACTGTTACTGGTTCTAAAAGAGTTACTGATGGAAGTGAAACTGGACTTCAAACTATTATTGCTGAAAATGGACCTGTTGCTGTTGGTATGGATGCTAGTAGACCAACATTCCAATTATATAAGAAAGGAACTATCTATTCTGATGCTAGATGCAGATCAAGAATGATGAATCACTGTGTTACTGCTGTTGGTTATGGTTCAAATAGTAATGGTAAATATTGGATTATTAGAAACTCATGGGGAACATCATGGGGAGATGCTGGATACTTCCTTCTTGCTAGAGATTCCAATAATATGTGTGGTATTGGAAGAGATTCTAACTATCCAACCGGAGTCAAGTTAATTTAAACTCTAATTCATTTCTTTTGATATTTTTTGTTTTTTTTTAAAATATTACTTACTAAAATTTATTGATAAAACATTTTTTTATATGATTTTCATATTTGAAAAATTCAATCTTATAATGATTGAATTTTCAATTAATGTAGAAATTTATTCTTCATATCTTAAAATTATTTTTAAGATGTACACTTCAAAGGGGATTATAAAAATACAATTAAAAAATCTTTGAAATATCAAAATGTCATTAACTGAAGATAATAACAACACAACAATCACAATTGCAAAAGGTGAAAATAAAGAAATTATTCTTCCTGGAAATCCAACAACTGGATACTCATGGGTAGTTGATAGTTGTGAAGGTCTTAGTAATGCTGTTGAATATGTTGCTGACCAACATGCTCCAGGTATTTGTGGATGTGGTGGAAAATATCATATTAAAATTACTGGTACTCAAACTGGTGAAGGAAAAATTGTTTTAGTATACAGAAGACCATGGGCACCAAATGCTAATGACCGTACTTTTACTTTAAAAGTTAATGTCCAGTAATTTATTTCTTTTTCCAGATAATTTCTATTTATTTTTCTCTTTTGAGGATTTCATTTTTTTTAAGAATATTTAGTGAGCAGATATCATTTAAAATAAAAAGAAAGCAAAATTTAATGGACAACATTTAAGTAGATAAAATTTTAAATGAATGAAATGTAATTGTTGCTGGAAGGATATTGATCCAAGCGAATATTATGTTGTGAACAAATGTAAACACATTTTTTGTTCGTACTGTGCCCAGAAGGCATGGTTAAATGGAAATTATAAATGTCCTTTATGTCAAATTACTCTAACTGAGGAGTTTGTTATAGAAAAAGTTTTAATAAGAAAACAAAATGACACCATAGCGATATTTCCAGAAATGACTCAACAGACTTTGAGTCAATAGCTCAACAACTCTATGGTATATCACCAAAAAATTGTTTGTTTACTGATAACTCCTTATTTTTTATTATAAATAAAAAATGTAACAAGTAGTAAATGAAATTATCTGTTTGATTTCGAATTTTAATCAGAAACAACAACTCCTCTATGAATCTAAGTTACAACATGACAACCGTGTTAATGAAAAAAAGTTAAACGTTAAGTACCAACAAGTTATCTCTAAGGCTTTTGATTACCGGAAACAACGAGATCAAATAAAAAATGAGTTAGAAAAATATAAAAAAGAAAATGAAAAATTAGAATTGGAGAATCAACAATTTAAAGCATTGATACAAGAGTATGAACAAAATAACAAACAAACAAAAGACATAATTCTAAGAATGCAACAAGAACAAAGTGAAAAGAATTCAATAATTTCAAGTAAATTATTCTCACCACAAACAAATCAAGTGAAACAATTATTTAAACAAAATACCTTTGAGGGTAATTCCAATGCAATATTACAAAAGAAATTGAACACGAAAATAAATGACAGTTTGTTTTTTTTTAGTACCATTCCAAAAATTCCAAAGTTAAAAAGATTCATTTGAATTTAGAATTTGCTCAATTAAAAAAAATACGTGAAGAGAATAAAAAAGAAATTAACTTAAAACTTACTCCTAAGAAAAATACCTTTTCTCTTGAAAAGAAACGAATTCCAATTCTCCAATCTCCAGTAGTAAATAGACCAATGTTTACTTCTCCATTAAAAAGTGTTGTAATTCCATTTACACCAATTTAGGTATGTTAAAATCAACCTTATTAACAAGTGTTATAATTTTTTTATAAGATTTATAAAAATTTACAAATACTGCGTTAAAGAATAAAACAAACAAATATCATTGAAAGTTGCAAAAAAAATTTTACTCTCAATTAAGATAATGCCATAAAAATAGCACTAAATAACAAAAGAAAAAAGAACTAATTTGTTTATTATATTAAGGAATGAAACAAAGTAGTTGTTTTTGCTCATTCATTCCTAATAAGACTTGTGTTTATGATATCATTGGTAGAGGTTCAATACATCTTACTAAAGAAGTTACTTCAAGAATTGTTAATACTATGAGACGTTGTAATTCAAATTTTCAAACAGAATCAATTTTACAGCCAACTTTAACTAAACCAGAAACTCCAATTTCTAATGGAGGTCTCGATAATGAAAACCAAGAATTAATAATTAGAAAAGGAGATATTATTGGGAGTTATAACTCAATTGAAGGACGTAGATATTCTATGAGAAAATCAATAGTTACTCAGTACAAAATTATTGAAAAACTAGGACAAGGTACTTTTGGTCAAGTATTTAAATGTCAAGACCTTAACAATGGAAAAATGGTTGCATTAAAAATTCTTAAAAATAAAAAAGCATATTTTAGACAAGGATTATTAGAGGTAACTACTCTTACAATTGTTAATACAATATATGATAAAGGATGTTCACATATTGTAGAAATGATTGATCATTTTCTTTATTGTGGTCATTTATGCATTGTTCAAGAATTATTGGGGTTTGTTGTTTATTGTGAAAAGATTTAAGAAGAATAAAAATTCATTTAAGATAGTCAAAATTTATATCAAATGTTAAAAGAAGTTCGTTTAAGAGGAATGAAATTATCAAATATTAAAAAAATAACACGACAAATTCTTGAAGGTATGTCATCACTAAATGAAGCTGGTATAGTTCATTGTGATTTAAAACCTGAAAATGTATTGCTTAACAACAAAGACATTAAAATTATTGATTTAGGGTCTGCATGTTTTTCTAATTATACATTATATTCTTATATTCAATCAAGACATTATAGAGCTCCAGAAATTGCATTAGGAATGAAATATTCAACTTCAATTGATATGTGGAGTGTTGGATGTATTGTTGCTGAAATGTTTTTAGGTATTCCATTATTTCCAGCAAATAGTGAATATGATTTATTATATCGATTTGTACAAACACTAGGGATGTTACCTTTTTCTTTACTTTCTACTGGAAATAAATCAAAACGTTATTTCAAAAAATCAACAAGTTCACTTGGAGTGATACAATATAGATTAAAAGAACAGTTTGAATATGAATGGGAAAATAATTGTGATCTTCCTCCTCATAAAGAATATTTTCCTGTAAAATTATTAAAAGATATTATTTTTAAATGTCAATTACGCGTTGAAAGTCCCTTGACTCTAAAGACAAAACAAACTCTATTTGATTTTTTAAGTGGTTGTTTTCAGTATGACCCTAAACTAAGATTTACACCAAAACAAGCTTTAGCTCATCCTTTTATTACAAATGGTTCTTTAAAAGATTTTGTATTACCACCAAGAGAATTTCCTTATAAAGTTTATGGTCATGTTGTTACTGCTGAACCTAGTCAAATGATTGCTGATACTTATAAAGATATGTCAATTACTAATTTAGATCTCTCTAGAAGTCAATATTATGATGTTTATATGACATTATTAAGAGCAGGACATGTTGCTAATATTACTATTGACTCTCCTTTTAGATATGGAAGTATTACCCCACCTCAATTATCACAAGTTTTTAAAAAAGGAATATTTGATAATCTTCCTTTATATAATTCTCAAATTACTCCAAGAGAAATTTCTACTAATGAGTTTAAAGCATTAAAGTCATTATATTCCTCTAGGTTTTCTTCGTCTGAATTAGTTTTAATTGATCAAGGGGCAATAGATACGAATGGCTCTATAACAAAACTTAAAAGTTCTTCATCCTTAAAAGAAGAAAACACTAAACAACGGTTTTCAGCATTTAAAAAGATTGAAGTAAATAAACATGAAAATGCATTAAGAGAAGAAAAGTCTAAGAAGAAATTATTAAGTAAAGACCCTAGAATTGATAAAGAACGAAGAAATGAATCGTATCTTCATATATCTCAATCTACTAACAATTCTGATAATCTTATTACAATTCCTATTCCCTTAAAAAAAGTATCTCTATCAACAGAATTAAGTTGTGATAGTTTAAATACAACTCTAGATGTCCCAAAATCTTCAGACATAATGAATTCTCAACAACAAAGTAAATTATCAAGTTCAAGTACTATTTTTGTACCAAAACTTTCACCAACTGATTCTCCTCAAGACAATAACAATCTAAAGAAAAGAAGATTTTCATGGTCAGATGGTCATTCATTTAGTTTTCCTTTCTTTAAGAAAAAAAAGAGATGTAGTTCTAAATCAAGTGAAGAATGTGATAAATCTGATAAAACACGAAAGGAAAAAGAAGGTCAAATAACTAATAAGAAATAAATCATTTCATACTCGATAATGTTCATAAATACTCTTTGTTACATTGTCTCAAATCTTTGTTTTCTTTTTTTTTGTTTTTTTATTCTTCTTAT